AAATTCCAAATAAAGGCATTGCTTCATAATAGATATGTGAGATTTCAAGGCAAACAATAACGTTTGAATATTTGTATAGTTGCTAGTATGCAACATTAAGTAATACAAAAGAATATTGTTTGCCAAAGATTCTCTATGGAGAAAAGGAACTTATTATAGTGAGATATTACCTCCTATATTAATGAATAGTTCCCACCATATCTTTATGGTGCCAATGTCTATATTGATTTGGAATATTGTTAGAATCTTTCCAATTTTTTATACAAGGAGAGATACATGAATTAGTAAAAGAGGTCAAATAGTTTATACAAGGAGAATTTAGTTCATGAGCAAGTCTCAAAATAGTGATGACTAATATATCATGGCATACTCACATGCATAATCAAGTTGAGAATATCATGGTTTTGTTTGTATCACTTGATTAGTGGGAGTTGAGTCATCTATAATTTGCATATAGATGATCCATATATTGTTCATATTTATGACTCAAGGTGTTACAAATAAGAGGATGGTCATTGTTCAAGAGTTGTGATATTATTGGTTAAGGTGCTGTATTCTTTTAGAATACATAAATGGATTATTCTCAAGGTACTTGAGATTATCATAAGTAACATATAATCACAAGTACTTGAACATCCATGAATAGATGACATTTGTCATGTGTAACACAGGATATGATCAGATTGTCCATATGTCTCTAATATGATCATCATGTAAAGGAGATGATGAGTATTTCTTCTAAGTCAATTGCTAGGATATTGCCTTATTTGAATGTGCACAAAATGGGCAATGTCATTACAATGAATATTAGTAGGAGTTACAAGTAAATTAATACTTGAATGATAACTAAAAAGCTGCAATGGTGAAGTACATTACTAAATGTACATTAGGTATCATGCTTCACATATATGAGTCAATTTCCTTGAATGATTGAGATCGTTCAATTTAGCTGGATGGGTTAGCAACAAATTGTTAACATTGTGATACATATCCATGCTTAATGAACAAGTTGCATCATGAAGGAGTGCAAGATTGCTAAACAATCACTGATTGTTTCCTTTCATCATGAAGTGTCTCTTGTAATCATTCATAGAGGCAAGTTGTAAGATTGTTGATTAATGAATTTCATCATAGGATTTTAAATTATTGAATTAATTTCAAATTCATCAAAGGTGTTTATTATATGACTATGGATTTAATTGGTTATAAAACACATAAAGCGTAAATCCTTTGAGTAAAGAGCATGTTATTAAAAATGTCAAAGGATCAATATCTTATCAGAGATGGATCACATGTAGTGATCTAGATAAGGTGTTATCAAGTGATGAAATTCAAATTTTGGTTTGTTATCTCAAGTTTGGTACCTGAATTATGTGAGATTAACAAACATTCAAGTTGGAACCGAATAAACATTTAAGGTTTATTCATAAAGTTATAACCCATTAAGTAAGGATGCTATTTGTAATACATGGAAGATAATACTCGATTAAGGGGACTTATCGCCATGATTCTAATAGTATTGCCTTCATTAACCTTGACATGTCAATTGACATATTGTGAACGGGCCAAGTGGGAGAATGTAAGATATTTTAATTATATATTTTATATTATATTATATTATTTTGTTTTAATTAAAATATCCAGAGTATGGCTCGTTAGTCAATTAGGCCCAGTCCAGGTAGGGTTCTAGACTCAGTGCTTTTTAGTCATTCTTGACCTTGATGGTGGGTTAAGTTTTGACGGCTAACTGAGTGAGCGTCTGTGAAAACCTAATACATGGCTCTTGAGGTTCCCTGACTGGGCGCGGCTCTTTCTTTTTCCATCACTGTGCCCACCTTCCAGTCAGAAGAGATCCTGATATCTTTTCTACTAACAACATCTGAATAATTTCAGTTATTCTAATTCAGATCAAGGCCAGAAGCATTGTGGATTGCTTCTTCAGACTATTCAGCATGGCGAGAGGTATTTATAAGTCTTCCGCTGCTACTCTGATGATTGTGGAATTCTATATGACTATTTAGATAAATATATGTGTTCATATGAATTGTTCTAACAACAATCACACACAAAACCCTCCCCTATGGGGCAACAGCTTATTTCATTCAAGAATTTTATATATGCATGCAAATTAGAAATCTAAAACAAAATGTTTTTTTACTTAATTAATTATAACAAACAAGATATGATTTTTCTAAAATTTCTATGAATAACATTAAATCATAAACTCCTCCAGTCCTTAATATATGACCTAATTAGAAAGTTAATTTTGATCCTAAATATAGGACCTATTTCTCATATTTACTAATTTTTTCCTAAATTATCCCTGTTAAATAATTAAATGCCACAATAATACTTATTACTCATTAATAATACACCCATATATTTTATAAAGTGAGTGAGTACTTATTACTCATTAATTCCACACATACATCAATTCTACCGTTTTATACTTTTAATAACATAATTTTAAACATGTTTGGAAATATCAGTTTTTAAAGAAGTTTTAACTGAGGGTATTTTGAAAAATATATGTCATATTTATGATTATTACTTAACTAACTTTTTTAATTTAATCAAAATAGTTAAATAGGTTCTATATTAAGGATTAGAGGAGTATTAATTTATAAGTTAGGTAAATTAGTTTGAAAGAAAATAATAAATATAAAAGATAAAATAGGCCATTAAGATCTTATATTATTTAAGAGTTAGTAAAATGATAGAGTAATTGATTGATTATGATGTCAAGAGTATATCTATTATCGTTATCAAATCACATAGATGAAGCAAAGTTGAACTCTGCTTTGAGCCACTTGAACGATTGGCGGTTTCTCCAACTAAACGTGCATTTTACTTGTACGCAATTGGTTGACGTGTGACCATATATATTCCTAGTGATGTGATGGGATGGTTACATCAACTTGAAAAAGCAACACATTTAGATTTTGACATTGTAGTCATCACTTTCTCCTACTGGTGCTCCTCAACCCCACAAAAAGAAATACAATCCGAAACAAATTAATTAAATCACCTATAAAAAAAAAAATCTAGCTAAGACCATATATTCATTATCCTAAATTTTTGACGTGCACATTATATTTTTACGTTCATGAGTGCAAGATACGGCTACATCAGATTATTACTATAAGAGCTTAATAACTAATTTGAATATCCCTAAAAAATTAGTTAAGTTTGTTAATCATAATAAATATGTGTTAATTTTTCTAAATTATCTACCTTAATCAAGTGTTAAAAAAATTCTTCTTCTATTAATTCTAGTTGGTGAACCAATAGTCCAATACTACCGGCTGTATTTACATCAGTTAGAAAATCATCGGAATTTTTTTTTTTTTCAACCGCTATATATAAAATAATCTTTTTGCGCTAATGATTCTACCAAACGGTTCATAACCACAGCCTCTCTGTCTATATCCCAGATTCCATGAAATTGAAGATGAAATATATTTTAACAATATTGCTGTCACTTTCTTACACCTTGTGCCTTTTCTTAAGAATACAAAAGAAACTACAAGTTAGAAGAATCTAATAAGGTCATGTTCCCACTCCTTTAATTTAATTTATGTGCTATCGCAAGTTGATGGGAATCTAAAAAGTATAAACAATATTCATATAATTCACTTTAATTATTTTGACAATCTTATATGTATCCAAATATGATTATAAAGTTGAAAGCAAAGTCAGTTATTGCTTGCCTTCACCATTCAATGCTACTTAATCGAGTAAACTAGTGAAACTTGTATTATTATTAGTAAGGCTAAAGTATATATTTAGTCCTTTAACTTTATTTAAAGTTTTAGTTTGGTCCCTTAACTTTAAAAATTATACTTTTAGTCATTTAACACCAAAATTATTAGTTTTAAATTAAAAAAATTTTTTGTAATAGTTATGGTTATTTTGAATATTAAACTTAATATGTTAGCATTTCGTAATGTTTTATCAGTATTCAAGAGCTCAATATCATCATTTTTTATTAACAGTTTTAGGGTTAGAGGACTACAAATTTACTTTTAAAATTAAGGGACTAAACTGAAATCTTGTGTAAAGTTAAAGGACAAAAAATATACTTTAGCCTCTCAATAATTGATACTAAGTTATTAAATTATTATATCTGGATTTTGTAATTTACAGATAAAACTAAAATTTGTGGCAAAAAATAATAGTTAATAGGTAGTTTTCATATATAGTATTTTCAGACGTTTTAATGTTCTTCGATGATTTTTGCTAGAATTAATATGTGAGGGGACAAAAAGAAATAAAAATAATAAATATGATAAAGTATATATAGTAGATAGGAACAAACCAAATATCTTTTCAAGTGTTGTACCCGGCAATAAGAAGTGCCATGAATTGGATTTGTTTGGTAGTTATTATCGGATGAGATCTGTAGATAAGGATATGTGTGTGTGTGTGTGTGGTAATTGGATTTGAACCTAATTAGAATACATATCTTATTCACTTTTTTATTTTCAATAACATCAATACACAACAGGACAGGATAGCTTCAAATAATTGACATTTAAAAAAAAAAAAAAAAGATAAGAATTTATGGTCCGCAAGACACAACAAAGAAACACATTTATGTAGTACTCATCCGATTTTAAATGTAGAAATCAGTTAAATAGCTGATTTTGCTAATTATAAGATCTCAATGTATTTTTTTTTCTTTTTTATTTTTTATTTTTTTCTAAACTAATTTATCTAACTCATAAATCATATAAAATTTAAATTTAAATTTAAATTTAAAGACATCAAGTTACATTTGTAAAGTAATTTACTTAGCTTTTTTAATTTATTCAAATTAGTTAATTAGTTCCTACATTAAGAATCAAAAGAGTGGTTTTTTAATAGCTATTTCAAGCTTGGAGGCTATTTTGTTGTCTTGGCAGTGGCACCGGTAATTATTAAAATAAATCAATGGCACATGTCTAAAAATAATAAGTGAGATCTTATTATCTAATTAACAAAAAATGAATGAATAGAGATTTCTACATTGAATAATTTCTATTATTAACAGTTAATCTCAATGGCAATATCAATATAAAACATATATGAAGTTTATTACAAGTTGAACCATTATTTGATCAAACAATATGAGGATAAAGGAAGATTAATTACCACCAAGAAGATGGCTTTCAAACTATATAAAACTTGAAACCATACATATCTATATGTATATATATATATCTATTATATTTCAATATATATGTGACTAAATGTCTATATGTTCAAAGAATAAGGTTGTAAAGAATCTCATTCCAAGTATCAGGAACACCAGCAAGACACCAATGGCTGCAATCCATTCCCATTTCTCCAGAAAGTCCATAAATGGAAGGATGTGCATCTTTTCTCATCAGTGATAGGCTTGTGATGTCCAGCAGAGTCACCGGTTTTTTCATCCTCTGGAGCACGCTCTTTAGCACCGCGGCCGCCGCCGGCAAGCCTCCTGGGTAGGTTGTTCCGGACACCGGCATTTGCTGCCTCAAACATCCCTTAGCTTTTGGTTCACCCCATAAACTACCACTGAAAAAAAAAAAAAAAGGTGTTTCATAAAGATATGGTAAGTCTCATCTCTTTTATGATATGATATCGAAGGAAATGGAATAAAGTAAAAGAGCACACCTTATAAATCACACTATTTTGAAATTGTGAAAACAAGAAAATATACCGCTATGATCTTATTAATTATAAGTTGTCTTACTGAAATTTAAAAAAAAAAATCTTAAAATTCATTAACTTTGCCTCAAAGATTAATAAGTTTTCAATTTTAAAATGGGACCAGATTGATACAAGCTATAGGTATGAAAATTTACCATTAAGTCCCTAGAACTTACTTTTTATTAATAAATTTAATTAATGAAGAACTTGTGAAAAAAACACATAGATAAGTTATAAATTTTTTAGTTTTACTCGCAAAGTACAAGTCCTCCTCTAATATTATAGTAATTAATTAATTATCTTGTTTGGAACTTGTATATAAATTTTCCTAAAAACAATATATAATGTAACTCACTTGTAGTGAGAAGGAGAAATGCCTTGGAAGAAGACTTTGACTTTTGAAGGATCAACGTTGGTGTCGACCCATTTGCTCCATGTTGTGAGTGCTATCTCAAAAGCCTTCATCCGGTCCATGTCTTTCATAATCTGATTCCCCACTTGTATGTAATCCCATCTGAACACATAAAATAATTGAAGATATCAATCATAGAATACAAGAACTCTCATACTTAATATAAAAGTTATATAGCAAATTTGAAGATATCAAAAAAATTAATTAAATTAGTTATTTGTCTTTTCTAAACGATCATATTTAATCATATACCTTACAATCAATGGGAACATTTCAGGAAAAAAAAATTAGGGAGAATTACAATGAGATCCCAAGTAAAAAAAATAATTACTAAAAAGTCTCGATAATAACTTAAGCAGCTTGTAATGACAAGTTTTAAAGTAGAAAATAACAAATTTTGGGACTTGTTTTGTAATTATTTTCTTTCCTTGGAATCTCATTGTAATTCTCTCAAAAAATTATAATATAAATTTGCGATACAAAGTGGATTGAGTTTTTATATTTAGAACTAAATTCAACATCTCTTAATTAACTTTTATATTAAGAATCGAAAATAGTATAATACTCCACACGATCTTGAATATAAAAGTTTCATAATTAGCTTTGCTAAATATCAAATATCAAAATTGGAGAAATTAGTTAATTATATCGAGTATGACCTGATCTCCCAACAGGAACTAGGTCAGATCTTGTAATGAATGAAAAGAAATAAAAGAACTTACGGTTGAGTAGGTCCCCTGCGGTACCACCAGTGCCAAGTGTTGAAGATAAGCATGTCAACCCCTTTCCACAAGTGAGAGCCGTTGATGGAATTAAGCTTCAGAACTCTTCCAATATCCTCTCTCACTAAGTCCACTAGATACACGCTCCTATCTACCATCACCTTTACTTTGTAATCCTGTTCCATTCATTATTATTCACACACACATCATCCTCCAATATACATATATATATATATATGTGTGTGTGTGTGTCCTTTTCATATTCATTTTTCAAAATTCCAATAATTAATAGTTTGTATAAAAAAAATAATTAATAGTGTGTGTAGTTTGTGAGTTCTCAATCCAATTTCACCAAGGGGAGGTTCATGCCGCATATCATATGGGAAAGATGCACTAAAGTATAGAAATTGTGCTTAATTATTTTGACATGAATAACTTTATTAATTAGATGACGAATCAAAACTAAATGATGTACTCCTCCGGTCCTAAATAAAAGGGATCTTATATTTAGGACAGGAGGAGTATGTTTGTTGTTTCATAATAATTTACTAGTACCCAAAAAAAGACCATTTTTTTCTTATCTACCATTAAAAAAAATATTTACACTGATTTTGTAATTGCTGTAAAAAATGCTTGACACCGGTTTCTAATAAAACCAACATAGTAAGTTAATAGTTTTGCATTAGGGAAAACCATTCTTGAAGTGCCTGTAGTTTTCTTTATTTTCGATTTGGTACTTGTGAGTTTTTCTTTTCATATTAAATCATTCAATTGTACTTAGCAAAATTAGTTTTTGTATATGATTTAATAATACCAATAGAGTAAAGTTATAAAGATGAATGGTGTTAAAAAAGTAAAATTAAAAGATATAATTAGGAAAAAAAACACACAAAAACCAAATTAAAAATTGAAAAAATCTATAGATATTTCAAGAATAGTTTTCGCTGTTATTTATGAAAACATCACTAGTTACAGCCCCTGCATTGTTCTTGCAATGACCGGTGTGAAAGCCATGCTATATAAATGCAATTTTTTTTTTGCACTAGTGACTATTTTTTTTAAAAAATTAACAAATGGGATACATCATTCACTGTAATTAAGATTAAGAGGATGGGAAGTCATATATATATATATATATATATATATAGTGACAACTCAGTGACAAGCAAGCAAATATACATAGGACCACCACATTTCCATACTTATTTACTTTGTCTTATCCTCTAAACACATGGCCTACACCAACCAACCTTTTTATAATGGGGAGGAAGAAAAAGATTCCTTTTTATTTTATGTACAAGACGGACAAAACAATCATGAACAACGGGAAGGATATATGTCAAAGATAATTGTAAAAAAGGGAATAAAACCACATGACATCATGGGTGTTATAATTATATATGATAGTAATTAATTAAATGAAAGAACTAATAAGATAAAGATAATAAAATGATGAATATATATGTAATTACCGTGAAAGTAAAAATAGAAAGAGATCCGGTTGTGGTCAAAGTGTAATTAGAGTTAGGGACTGAAGAGTGAAGCATGCAAGTCAACGACTGCCATTGATTGAGACTTAAGGAATCTCCTACGAACATGATGCTCTTTCCCATCATCCGCCTCAAGAAATCTCTCCCATTGAATCTGTGCACATTTCAACATATATTGGACAAAAAAAAAAAATCCTCGAATAATAATTTTCCTTTTGGAAAAAAAAATAACACTTCCATGCATTGAAATAATGAATTAATTAATAAATAGAAGGAAAGTGAGTGCCTTTTTTCATTCCCACCAGTAAAAAAATCTATTGAATTGAAATACAATGAACCCATATAAGCAATCTATGATCAACTTTTTTTTTTTTTGAGTTGATCAATTTTAGTGAAGAAGTTACATGAAGGAATTGAATTGGAGTTAAGTAATTAGATTACATGAATGAAAATGTCTTAAATGCATTTGGCGTACTAAAGAAATTAATTAAGGCTGAGGCTGGTGATTGATGAAGGAAACAAATCAAAGTGTGCTTGGTAGGTGGCGTTTGACTTTTTAATTCCATTTCCCCCCCTTAATCAATCAAAACTAAAAAAAGAAATGATAACTCACTCCTTAAATGTGAATTAAATTGAATTTTCCCCCCCAACTTTACTTATATTATATGAGGTTATAAAGAACAGAAAAAATATATAGAGTTACAATTAAGTATTAATTGCAGAACCAAAATTAACAAATAAGCATTAATTTTTTTAGGAGCGACTTTAATTTTGGAGTGAAATGAGTAAATTTTTAATTTTATCCTTATTAAATATATAAACTTTACAAATTAAATAACATACTCCAACATTTAGTGAGAGATAAAAGGAAAAATTAATGATGAAGAAATAATGACATGCCTTAATTAGAATCAGAAAATCTTATAAATTGGAGATGATGACTGAAATTTGAAAATGAATAAAAGAATACAGACAAGATAAACATGTCTTTATACAAATGAAAAAAGGCTGTCTTTTGCATGATTCAATGTCTTTTACGGAGGAGGACAAGTAGGGAATAAAATGAAAAGAAAAGGGGCAGTAGGGAGAGAGGAGAATAGCACCGACAAATTCACAGGAAAGGGCGGGAGGGAGAAGCCGCGCAGTAAGAATCTAATGAAACGCAACAACGCTTTTTCGAATACAACTGTCAGTGCTTATTGGCCGACTAAATGCCGTCACGTGAAACTTTACTTCTTTCATTACTCCCACTACAGCCAAACATTCCGCAACTCAGCTTTTCCCAGTTTTCTTCGTTAAATTATTGTTAATATTCTCGTTCAATTATACGTAAATAATTTTAATATTTTACCATAAAACCTTGGAAAAATCACAATTAAAGACTCTAAAATTTAAAAAATACAGATAAAAACCCATAACAACTTTACTATGATAATAATAATATGTCATGAAGTTATCAAAACTCATAGTAAAATTGTCTGGTCCTCGTATACGTTTTTTAAATTTCAGGATTTTTTTTTTGCGATTTCTCCTAAAACCATTTAGAATAAAGCATCTTATTTTAATCTTAAATAAAAACTTACTAATAAAAAACAGTTAGTTTTTCAGTGCTAAAAAAAACCAGTTAGTTTTGTTAATAAAAAAATTAATGATATTAAAATTTTAAATATTGACAGCACATTCTTAAATAACAAAAAAATGTGTTTTGTAAAATCAAAGCACAAAATTAAACCTTACATAAAATTATATGATAAAATATACTCTTATCAATTATAAATACTACCTTGAGTCTTAATTATAATTATAAGATGTTGTTTATACACTATAAACAATACTATCTCTGATCCTTAATATAAGATTTTGTTTAATTTTTATTTTGGTTCTAAATATAAAACCCCAATACACTTTATTTCTCATATTTATGCATTTTTTTTCAAGATTTTCTTTCTAATAATAGTAGTTCTAACTAATATAGTTGATTAGCAAGGATATTTTAAAAAAGATATCATCTATTTATTATAAATAACTAATTTAACTTATTTTCTTAATCTCTTCAAATTAGTCAAGTAAATCTTATAATCCGGATGCGGTATCTTATAATTGGGATCCGAAGTAGTGTGATTATTGAATACGTACGCCGGGCAAAATTTTAGGATTCATACATGCTAATGCAATTTTTTTTAAAGAAATATATGATATAAAAAGTATAAATAAATAGTACAGTTCATGAATCACAGCCCAGTGAAATGGGAAATCGTGGTGTTTTAATCTAACGGTGGTGAAGAAAGAAGGAGTGGAAAGCAGAGAGGGGGGGAAGACGGTGTTAATCACCTGAGTAAGTTGCAGGCGAGGGGCTGCCATCTGTAATGGGTGTAAATCCGGTCAGGGCGGCCGTTCCTCTCGCAGCTGAACTCGTGCCGCACAAACTGACACCTGGACTCCTCATATAACGGATACGATTCGTCCCTCACCCAGTGCCCCGAAAACAGATCGCACCTCCCTCCGACCCGACCCGAATACCCTTCCCCATTCCCAGCCCCAGCCAGAACCAGAACAACCAGAAGCACAACCCAAGAAGTGGAAGACGACGGCGGCAAACTGTAGCGAAGCCGCGTAACCATTATTTCTGAAACGCACCGTACTCTCTCTCTCTCTCTAACCTCTGCCTCGAAAAGAAAGAGAGAGAATGTTATGGCAATGAAGCCGAAGAAGAAGATGTGTGTGTGTGTTGTGCGTCTCTGTGCTTGGCGGCATTTCAGAGCGAAGGCTTCGGTCTGATATTTATAGAGGAGGAGTGGTGGTGCCTGCATGGGTCCTTTTTCTGCCGAACTTTTGTTTTTTAATTTTGGCGAACTTTTTTATTTAATTTTCTCATTCAATGAGCTTTTTTTCCCCCTCACAATGGTTGGACTGTATTTATTTGTCCCAATGTGAAAATTCACATTGTAACTCCTTTTTTGTTATATGGCTCGGGATCTTAAGCCATGCCCCAAATTGTTTTTTGTTGACTAAAAAAATTTAGGTGAGCTAGTTTTGGTGACTCATCAATGTCAGATATATCATAAAACGTTTAACAGACATATTTACATATCACTCACTAATAAGGTCCTCATATTAGTTAAAGGATTCGAATTCATAATATTATAAATTATGAGCTAACTCCTCATCAATTTGAAATTCTTGTTTGCAGGGCACCAAATTTATAGTTTTCTTAAATGTCCTTATTATCATGCATATTAAAAGAGTTATTACAGTTTCTAATACAAATAATTAGAAAATTATTTAAAAAGCTACTCGCATAATTTTAACAAATAAACTTAATTAATACTCCTCCGGTCCTTAATATAGGACACAATTGTTGAGTTGGTTTTGGTCCTAAATATAAGAACCATTTCTCATATTTATCAATTTTTTCTAAATTACCCCTATAGATACTCCCTCAACCATAGTCAAGTAGAAGAGGGAGAGAAGGTATTAAGAAAGATGATTATGATATTTTAGGAAAAACATGTCATATTTCTTATAATTAACTAACTTACCTAATTTCTTTAATCTAATCAAATTAATTAAATGGATCTTATATTAAGGACCGGATGAGTATTTTTTAATTTTTATAAAATTAATTATTTAATTTTTATATACTTGGATTCAGAAGAAATACTAAATGGAATCATTTCTATTTTGGTTCTCTTTTTTTCTGCCTTGACAAAAGTGACAATTTTAAGATATAGGATTCCTTTAATTTATTCCTGAGTGCTTATAAATTAATCAATCTAGAGACTTGGTTCAGGCTAAATTGAAGGGAAATTATATCATGCTTTGGAAATTTTTTAAAAAAAACAAAAAAGAAAATTGACTGACTTCGACTTGGCTTTGGAAAGAGTCTTGGTTGACTGAAGACTCACACTACTACGCAGCAGCGGTTTTGGAAGAAGTGGTGGGAGAACAAACAAAAAAAAAAAAACAAAGGAAAAGAACAGTGGCATTTTGAAATTTTAGTGCACAAAACTTGAAATTTAAGTTGAGTTATTTATATTTTGATTAAGTCAAGTTTTTTAATTATACTTGTTACTTCACTATTATCAATTGTTAAAATGTGTCTGTGTACTTATAAATTTATCTATCAATATTTATAATTTTTTTATGCCAGCTCTTATGATAAAAATAAGGGTTTGAACATGGATATAAATACTTGTTATTTTGTTATTGTTAATTATTAAAATACGTGTGCGCACTTATAAATTCACTCATAAATTTAGCCTGATGAGAATATAAATAACTTAACCTAAGTTTTGTCTGTTTAAACTTATTTATGATCTCTAATTCTTAATATAAAATCATAATAATTGACGTGAAAAACCCTCCCATTGAAAATCCTTGTCAATCAAAGCAATAGCAGATACGCTACGATCTTTGTTTTTTGAAGAAATTATCGTAACATTTGGTTTCTCCAGCGTCGTTTAATTTGGATTCAATGTTATTTGACTTAGACAGTAGAAATGGGTGGAATCTCCACCATAAACAAATTAGGAAACATAAGATAGAAGAAGGGAGATGGAAGCCTTCTATTTGAATAATTGAACAGTCTTAATTGTTTAATAGATCTCCAACATCATATCAACGAGTAATGATTAATGTTATTTAATAAACAAAATTACAGTATAATAATACTCCCTAAACCAAGTAAAATGAACATATAAAGATAGAAGTTTCCTTTCCCCTTCTGTTTCACTAATCTATGCCACATATAGAATGCTATGTTTAATATAAAAGTTAGAGAAAATTAGTTAAATTAGTTGTTTATAATAAATGAATATTATCTTTCTTAAAATACCCTTATCAGTCATCTGTATTTAGCAACCTATTGATAAAAACTCATTAACATACGCAAGGGATTAATACGGAGCTAAATAGATAAAAACTACCTTCGATCTTATTTATAAGACTTCGTTTGTAGACAACAAATAAGGTTTTATAATTAGAATTAGAGGTAGTATTAAAGATAAAATAAATTAGAGTCTTAGATTTTATATAGTAGCATCACATGTAGAGCCGCCATAGATCATTGATTGGCCACCAGCGACTAAATCACCGATAAGGGATTATCATAATGGTAGAATTTGAGCATACAACTCCTGAAATCCCAAAAATTTATATAGCCACTACTAGACCTGAGACTCATTTGTTATAAGTACATATATAAACTTAGTTTTTTTAAAAAAAAAATTTAACAAATTAAGTGCAGACAAACAAAAGAAGTTTTTAACAAATAATTATAATTGTCAAGTGCAACACATTTTCTTATACTAAAGTTGTCAATTCTTTGTATAAAAAAAATGTCAATTCTGATAAGATTATATAGTTGTTAATGAAAGATTAACACCTCTAGTAGTTTATCTTTTGTCAATTAAAATCAACTACTTTAGTATAAAAAAACTGATTAAAAAAATATTTCCACCTTTTCTCTTTCAAATCGCTAGTAAATTTCACAAAATTAGTTTTTAATGAAATTATTGATAGTGAAAAATGACAGTGAAGTTCAGGTCTATTTTGAGCTTGTTTGAAGTTCTGTTTAAAAAAAACTTTTAAACAAATTCACGTAAGCCGAAACAAAACTTTCCTCGTATACTTATCTTATATTCCTTAAATCACGTTTAAAAAACTATTTGTAAGTCAATCCAAACCAGTCTTTTGTTCCTCCAATTTTATCGGATGTCCCCGAAGGAAATTTTGTTCTTCCAATTATTTTACACGCGACCTATTTTTTTTTTTTTTTGGGAAAAAATTATTTTGGGTGAAGATCCAACCACCTTCGTTATGAATAAGTGGGAATTGGGAATGAGAAGGCAATGATTGGGTACGTGGAGGTGCATGGTAGGGAGGAGACATCATGGACTGGAGCAGAGAGGGTGTTTGTTGGCGAAGAAGAAGTGAATGGAGTGGGGCCTGTTTGGTTACGAAGATTACCAAATTCCGTTGTGATTGAACTTCGGCGGATCACTCCTACTTTTTAGGTTGCGTGATCCCTCACGACGACGCTTCCCAGCTGTCGTTTTCATTATCTTCCCAATCCACGTTCCACAAGAGCTATATTTGATTATTATCCTCACTCAATATTCTACTTTTTTTTTTTTTAACCAGCAACAATATTCTACATTTGTATATATTTAGAAATAAAGTAACACATTATAATTACACGTCAAAGCTATGTCTTATTTTTCTATCCATTATTTTTTTTTTGCAAATGCATTGATACATTACGCATTGTAATATATATATTAAAGAATGTGATTCTTATTGGTAAAATGAGTTTTTCTTTTTTGGAGATTTCAACAAAAAGTTGAAACTTAAAAGAGAGAAAGAGATGGAGAGGTGGCTCATCCCTATCAGGCGGGTCCAATATATAGGTGGGTCACGTTTGTCTCTTTCACTTCCCCTAATTTCTGGATGAAGTATTTTAGAATTTAGACTCTCAATCAATATTGAATTAGTTGATTTTTGCTTAAATCTTTTTAATAATTGATGTTTTATTATATTATTAAATATATCAATTTTATACGTTTACTCTTGAAAACCATACATTATTTTAAAAGAAATCAGTGATTTGTTTCATTTTGAAAATCAATGAATACCCTAATAACAAAAATGGAAAAATTAATTACCTTTTCATTGGGACTGAACTAAGGCTCTTCCAGCTGGCCTTATAAACCCAACTCAACTTGGCCAATTTGAGACGGACCTAAAACCCAGTAATACAGATTACCCTTAAAATTATGGACCCTTTGTGACTTGGACTTTTTCTGTTGTTTACTTTTCTATTAGAGTTTAGAACAGACATCACTAATTAATGTGGACCAAGAAGTGGACATCTAAGAAACTCTTGATCACATTGGGTTCAATTTGATATATGAGAATTATATATAATCCTCATGCATTATGCTGACTTGTGTTTGGTTGGCAGAGAAAAGGAGTCTACTGTTTTTTTTTTTTTGGCCGAAAATCTAATGTAATTTTGATTAACAGCAAATAAGGCAATCCCCACTGTTATATAACTTTGGTTGTGTAATACAGATTTAAACTGACATGAATTAATGCATGGCCGTCTATATCTTCTATGATTCAACATTTAGACATCTATACCCTTCATTTTTGGCTTTGACAGAGTTGAAAAGATTATTTCACATTTATTTTAACTTTTTCTAGATAAAATATAAAGTTTATTTCATAATTCCTTGATGGCATGCCAAACAACTACTTTGTAATCATTATTTTGTTCCATTTAATTCCCTGTGATTCTTCTATCTGAGTTTTCCCCTATTCTTCTATCTGAGACTTTCTTTTCTCGAAGTAGGAAGAATCTAGGCGAACAGGATAGAGATCTCCAGCTGATGTAGATGAAGAAGCGGACATCCCCAAGAGGCTCTTGGAATGAGTTTCAGTCTCATCATTCGTCTGGTTTTCTTCCATCTCTCGGTAATATTGTCTCATTGCCTCTAACTTCATCTTACTTGCTTCCTCACTTTGATCAGAAACGAACTCTGGAACTACAGTTCTTCCTTCAAGCATGCTTAGCACTGAAGACATGGAGGGCCTGAGTGATGAAGATGGATTAGTGCATAGGAGAGCCACATTGATCATCACCATTACCTCCTCTCTGTCAAAATCTGAACCCAACCTTGGATCAACTAGCTCCATTAAATAGCCATTCTCTTTCAAAACATGTGCCTGGTCAGAGAAAAGTGGACAGAACAATGATATTTGCAGAAGGCATTGGTTATAAAGCCAGACTCTTGATTTCAATGACAAGTTGTTGATGTCCATAAGATGCTTTCATGTAGGGAATTCAAGCAGCTTATGCCAAATTTCTGTAATTGTTAGGAACAGCACAAATCCTAGCTAGAAATTATAAAGGATAGTCAAATTAACATGAGTGCTGAAGAGCGCAAAGATACAAAAAAGTTACCCAATTAAGAAGATTGAAACATTCTTCCTTTTGTCGGCGAGAAGTGTTACTCCTTCCACTTACAATTTCCAGAGCAACGATTCCAAAACTATAGACATCTGCTTTGTCAGTTAAATAGCCATGCATTGCATATTCAGGTGCCATGTATCCACTGTAAAATTGAAATGTAACCATTACAGCAACAAAATAAATTGCATGACACTGCTGAATTGGATTCTTATGGGAAAAATATTTATTTCAATTAAAAAAAAAATCACATAAGAAACTTACTAGGTCCCAGCAATTCGAGTGCTTATGTGGGTATTTTCCTCTTCATAAAGCTTGGCTAGTCCAAAATCTGATATTTTTGCATTCAGGTCTTTGTCAAGTAGCACATTTGTGGCCTTGATGTCCCGGTGAACAATCTTTAGTCTTGATTCTTCATGGAGGAAAGCCAAACCTCGGGCAAGATCAACACAAATCTTCTGTCTCATTGGCCAATCCAATTTTAAGCGGCATTCCTCTGGCCCTTCATTTGAGAATATACAAAAAGATTTGAAAACATTACAATTTTCGTCACGTAGACATAGATATAGTGTGTGTGTGTGTAGAGTATATATAAGTAATTTACCAAACAAGGCACGAGCAAGGCTATTGTTTTCCATGTATTCATATACCAACAACAACTGATCCCCCTCAACACAACAACCATAGAGCTTAACAAGACAAGGGTGTTGCAAAGCAGAGATCATGCCAATCTCATTGATGAACTCACGGTTTCCTTGCTTTGATTTAGAAGAAAGCTGCTTCACTGCTATCATTGTGCCATCTGATAGAAAGCCCTGCATTTTGGAGAGCATTGCATATGAAAAAGAAATGCCAGCAAGTGGTGATAGAATATTGCCAATAATCAAGTCAAGATGTTACTTTGTTCAGGATACCTTGTAAACAGGACCAAATCCTCCTTCTCCAATCTTATTGGATGCATCAAAGTTATCCGTTGCTGCTTTGATTTGGCGCAAGGTAAATAAACCAGTTTGCAGATCTAAGCTCTTTAGCTCTGTGAGTATAAGCAAACAAGTGAGAGGTATAGTTGTGTTGCAGAATCCACATTATGAACACTTTCGGGAGAACAGGCATTAATTAGTCTACAATGGATTGATTCCATCCATTATCTATGGAAATATTGCAATATAAAATAGTATTTTCTTTGTCATTACCAATTGCTAATGAGTTTCTTTTTCCGAGGTAACCTCTCCACCAGAGTATGCCCAATATCAGGACGACAATACTCACTCCTGCGACCACAATTGCAGCAAAAACTGCTCCAGGGATGTTTCTTGGGGGTTGAAAGTCTGTTTAATAATTATATAAGAGCTACATGTCAGATAATACCAACAAGTTGGCAGCCAAAAGAATAGGTGTTTACAGAGAGTAAGAACACACCAGAAGTTACAGAGATAGCTGAAATTAGAGGACCATAAACTGACTTTTCTGGTATAGCAGTTGTCCCTTTCCCCGCCCAATGGAAGCGAATCTTTAAGGTGCCATTAGTCACATTTACAGTAAATTTTTTTATGATTAGCTTACCAACTCCCCTTGCTTCAGTTACAATATTGAAATCCTTCAGCATTCGCCGTTCCTACAAGATTCCAATCCAATCCAAATTGCTTCAGGATCGTTAATGTTCTTAAATAAATTCTGGACATTTCAGAAAAATATTGTAGAAATTGGTTCCATAATTGTTAAGCATTTTTAGAGAATAGTTACTCTATCGAGTGCATATTGAGAATTTAATGAAGTCATGCAGATTAAGGAGAGTTTCTCCTCATGCATCAAAAGTTAAAAAATACTCCTCCGGTCCTAAATATAAGACCCATTTTGTGTGCAATTTACACCACAAAAAGGGTTTTATATTTAGGACCAGAGGAATATAAAAATTTTAATATTGTTATATTTCATCAAGATCAACATAAAAATATAAAACTAATAGCAAGTTCCAACTCACAAGCGATGAACCATGTAGCTGATTCTTCAAACTTAGTGTAATAATAGCATAACTAGGGATTGAAGTTTCACTTTTATATACATACAATGATTACCGGGAAAAAGGCTTTTGTTCTATATCAAACACCTGGTTGACAAAAGTAAACAAATGATGTAACCATTAATTACCTGAATGTAGACATCAAATACACGCCTTCCAAGGCTTCTATATGTTTGATCATCAGTGAACATTATCTCGACAAAATGGAGACTCACCGTGTATGTTCCATTTCCCAGGCAAAATGCATAATAGGTCAGAGAAATAGGGGAAACATGTGCATTTCCGTACAGTTCAACAGGGGGCAGGGGGGGACTCTTGTTTTGTGCGACATAGATATCCTTTTGTGTTGCATCTAAAAAGTGACCAGTATTGCTAATTGCCCAGTTAGTTCCACTCTTTGCAAATCCTTGTCTAACTAGATCCAAATCACCATCATACATTGTATGTCCAATGGCTGCCTGATCTCCACCGCAATTTATATTGACAGAGTACCAGGCTGGCTCAAGAAGAGTCAGAAACATTCAATAAGGAACCAGAACAAACCCACACAATTAGAAATTATTCATTCTAAATTTAAAGTACTTTTATATAGAAACCCATAAACAGCTGCGAGCATGGATCTAGTCCTTTGATATGAAACCAGTGGTGGACTTAGGACCCCAAGTCAGCCGGGGTAATACCTAAATAGATTTGGGTTGGGCCTAATGGAGTCAAAATATTGAAGTCAGTGGGATCAAAACTTACATACCAACATTTAATTTTTGCAAAGGTTGCCCCCACTCTCTAACAAGCAGGTTGCCTATGCATGAAACTAATGGTCTTAGAATCAGTTGAGATCTCATATAGTTTTTGCATATTTAATCAATAATCATTTAAGTGCTCTATATCTATGCAACTTAGAAGATACTTGCAATTTCTATAAAAACGATCAGCAGATAAAGAGTACTTGAGCGGTAAGATCAGAATCAATATTATTTGTGAATGTGGCTCTTATCACATCCAACTTCTCAGCAAATACATTGATGCTTTTTTTTATAAAAAAAGAATTCATTTAAAGTGAGGAGAAAGCCATAAACATGCTCATGAATCAAAAGACTAACTCATCCTATTCCCATCCCAGTATCCTCATTTTTAAGTTGCATCAGAATAAGGTTTTCCTGTGACAAGCTTTTGCTATTCAAGTATGCACCAGTGGCAGGACAATTCTTTCTTTGCCCTGGTAACTCCAGAAAGAAAAGGTTTTCTAGTCAAATCACATTGAAAGTCTATAGGAAATAAGTGAAAAATCAACTTACTTTGAGAACAAGTGCTTCTCATACAAGTAACAGACCCTCTGAAAGAAAGTGGGAAGCTGAACAAGTCAGAATAATCGCCTAATAAACACTACAAGTTTTAAAAGAGATTAAGAGGAAAAGAACAATCTATATGGTTTATAGAAAGACAAACGAAGGCCTAAAAATGTAAAACTTACGAGTCATTGGCCATCAAAGGGTCTCCAAAAAGGTTCCTAAGGCGTATAAAAGATGAATAAGGCCCAAATAGCTTTTAAAAATTGCATACAATCGCTACAAATGCAAAAATTCTCACACTTTTGGCTGATCACAATTCTTCTCCCCAGCATTTCCACTGTTAAAGTTGTTATATGAAAGATCACTGTGCACAAGGAAAAAAGTATGATTAAGAATCTAAGAAGATTTGACACAGATTTCATGAAACACTTGTTAACTCAAAAGGAAATCACCGAATAAATATAATCTAATACACACACACACACAATTAAGCTCATTGCACTGAACAATTTCAAAATGATTTCCCTGCTCATGAACTACTGAATGAAGAAAATATCATCTGCAACAGAAAGGTAGAATAGCCCAAAAAACAATCCACAATCAAAAGGCAATAAGATGAGAAAGGCCTAGCTAAATTTTTTTTTCCCCTTGAATAATGTAATTCCCTGATAAAGCATGAAACTATATACACAATGATTAGTAAATCATTGACATGAGGTAGAGCAGAAGGGATTATCTTAAGAAGTTGAAACACATTAAGGGAACAGAGTTAATAAGTAATTTTAATGTAGGACTTCAGAGCTAAAGTTGAAACACATTAGGAAATTGTTCAAATTTCCTCAAGAGAAATGAGAGGTAAAAATAAGCCTTGCTCCGCACACACCTTAAACACTATTCTAGACTACATCTCAGGATCATTACATGCCTATGCTGATCAACATATTCATATATGCATAACTAAGAATATCTTGTAGATCTTGTCGTTGATGTAGATTCTGTTAGCGTGATAATGTCCTAATTTTCAGGGATATTATTCTGCCTTTAATATTATTCCTTTCCCTCTCAGATCTCACACTGATCTTCTCCAGTGATGACAATGCCTTTCCGGACAGATTACTTCGCTTCCCAGGTGTGGGTATTCTTGCTTGGCCATTCTTGTTTGTTTTTTGTTGCTGTTTCTGCTGTTTTGCATCTATTTTGCAGTGGATCGCCGGTGTAACTGTTCTTTCACTCCTACCTTGATTACTAATTTAGTGTGATGGCTGAAAACAATGAAATGGTGATGACTGAAGGTGTGCCAGTGGAATAGAGCAAGACAGTTCTGATCCAATCGCAAAGTATTTAGAAGGAAGACCATTTGACTAATGACCCCCCAAAAGATAATACAGGACAAGCTTAGACAATGGATACTCCGTGACTATTAAAAACTCAATTGAGAGTGAGATAATTAGTACCATTAATCACTATGAATATGTTAAGGAGCTTATGGATCATATGATTATTTGGAGTTTTGGTATTCACTATCAATTTGTTATCATTCATAGGATCATCTCTCTAAATGTATACCTATAGTAAGAAATAACATGATAAGAAAAAAATCTGATTCATGTTTGATTGCACATACATTATATTTCAATTGTTGCCAATAAAATCTCCCAAGATTTACCGAAGTAGGTGCTATGTCATAGGTCATAATCGGATATAATAATCAATTTTACTGGTATTTCTTGAGTCAATACCAGTGCACATATTAGGAACAAATAATGCACAAGCAAGTGGCTGAAATTTGGAAGAGAACTCACATGTATTCAACTTTCAACTTAGGCAAAGGTCCATCAAGAAGATTTCCAGTTAAATACCTGTGTAAATACAATAACATAAATCAATTCGTAACTCATTAATTATTCATGACTCATCAAAAAGGTAATCTCAATGTCATTAATTTCACTGTTCTCATCTTTTGCAAGAAAGAATTCAATAAATTCATATTGTCCATCGCATCCTTCTATCAACTTGGTTAGTTTGACTGTATGGATGTTTTGGTTTAACTCACAAATGTTGGAAAGATCAATGATATTGGTGCTTTTAACCATCAAGAACCTCAAGTTGGGACAGAGGCCCACCTTAAAGATAAGTTTTGAGAAGATATAGAGGGGTTGGCTCAAAGCATACCACTTAAAGAAAAAAATTTTATGAGTGGGGATTTTAATGGACATGTGGGCAAGGAAGCAGGACAATTTGGTGGGGCTCATGGTGGTTTTGGTTTTTGGGAAGCTTAATAATGGAAGACAATCGATTCTTAACTTTTTTCTTGCATACAATCTAAAGATTGTCAACATTTATTTTAAGAAGCGAGAGGAGCATTTAATCACGTACAAGAGTGGTGCCTCAAAATCACAGATTGATTTCTTTTTGGTTAAGAATCCGGATAAAAGATTGTGTACTAATTGCAAAGTGATTCCTGGGGATGGGATGACTGCCCAACATAGAGTACTTGTCCTTGATGTGCGTTTTAAAAGTATCAGACAAAAATATCATCAAGTGATAAAACCCAAGGTCAAGTGGTGGCAGTTAAAGGGTCAGAAGCGAGAGTTATTCAAAAGGACCTTTTTGGAGGAAGGGATCTAGGAGTTGCAGGGAAATGCGAACATTATGTGGGAAGAGATGGCTACAAGAGTTCATATGGTAGCTAAAGCAATTTTGGGAGGATCCAAAGGTCGTGACCAGAGAGATAAAGAGACTTGGTAGTGGGATAAGAGTATACAAAAGAAAGTCAAACAAAAAAGAGATTGTTTTAAGACAATACATTTGTGCAATAGTACAGAAAATGAGGAAAAGTATCATCTGGCTAAAAAAGAGATGAAGAGAGCAGTGAGCGAAGCACATACTAAAGCTTATAAGGAGTTAGAAACAAAGGCGGGGGAAAGAAATATTTAAAAGATTGTCAAGCAAAGGGAGAGGAAAAAGAGAGATCTGGACCAAGTGAAGTAAAGAATGAAGATGGTAAAGTTCTGGTTACTAATAGTGATATTAAGAACAGATAGAAGGCTTACTTTTACAAGTTGTTTAATAAGGGAAGCGAATATGCAACTCAAGACTTACAGGACTTGCTAATTAGAGAAGATGATCGGAATTTAGCTTTTTACCACTGGATCCCCATTGGAGAGGTTAAGGCAGCTATCAAGAAAATGGACAACGGTAAAGCCGTTGGGCCTGGTGGTATTCCTATTGAAGTTTGAAAATGTTTAGGCGATGGGGGTGAATTGTGGCTAACCAAACTCTTTAATGAAATTTTATACTCCAAGAATATGCCGAATGATTAGAGGAAAAGTATTTTTGCTTCTATATACAAGAATAAAGAAGACATTCAAAACTGTGCAAGCTATAGAAGAATAAAACTTATAAGCCATACAATAAAGTTGTAGGAAAAAGTGATTGAACATAGGTTGAGGTTGGAGATTTCTATTTCGAAGAACCAATTTGGATTTATACCGGGGAGATCCACAACTGAAGCAATCTATTTACTAAAGGGGTTCATGGAAAAATATAGGAGTGAAAGAAGGGATTTACATATGGTTTTTATTGACTTGGAAAAAGCTTATGATTGTGTGCCAAGAGAAGTACTTTGGAAGGCTTTGGAAAAGAAAAGTATACAAGTTGCTTATATCAAAGGCATACAAGATATGTGTGAGTGGATAACTACTAGTGTAAGAACGCCTAAAGGTGAGACAAAGGACTTTCTCATTAAGATTGGCCTACATCAGGGATCTTCTTTGAGTCTTTATTTGTTTAATATTGTTCTGGATGTTCTAATCCAAGTTTATTCAAGAAAGAATCCTTAAATCTATGCTTTTCGCGGATGACATACTCCTCATGGTGGAATCAAAAAAAGAGATTAAATTTAAATTGGAGTTACAGAGAAGGACTTTAGAGTCGAAAGGTTTTTGCTTGAGCAAGAACAAAATAAAATATATGCATTGCAATTTTGGGGAAGGCAAGACAATAGTGATTTGGAGGTGAAGATGGGGGATCAAATCATTCCTTAAGTATCAAAGTTTAAATACCTAAGATCTATTGTCCATGTGGATGGTGAAATTGATACAGACGTTTCTCACATAATACAAGCTGGCTGGTTAAAGTAGAGGAAGGCTACCAGAGTTATTCGCGATAAGAAGATACTAGAGAAGTTTAAGAGAAAATTTTATTGGACTACTATAAGACTAGCTATGCTGTATGGTAGTGAATGTTGAGTGATAAAGGGAAAATAAGAGCACAAAGTTGGGGTAGCAAAAATCAGGATGTTGAAATGAATGTGTGGTCCTACAAGAAAAGATAAGATTCGAAATGAAAATATAAGAGTGAGAGTCGGTGTGGTACCTATTCAAGAGAAAATGGTTGAACATCGCTTAAAGTGGTTTGGACATGGGCAAAGAAGGCCATTAGAGGCTCCAGAGATCAGACAATATGGAGTCCCATAAAAAGAAGTAGAGGAAGACCGAAAAGAATGCTTAATGAGGTCATTGAACGTGACCTTCTGGTCAACAACATATCTAAGGATTGGGTTGTTAACAGAGCACGATAGCATCGTGTAATTCATGCAGCCGACCCACCTAATGTTGAATCCTAATAAGTGCATATTTTATAATTAACTAGGTGTAGATTTTGGGATATAATTGATCAGATTTATAAATATTTTATAACTATTTAATTTATTTTATACACTTTCCTCCCTAAATTTAATTGTTAGGCAAAAATTGAACTTGGAAAGAATATCTGCTCATATTTTCTCTTTTTTTCGTACAGGAAAAATGATAAAAGAAACAGGAAAAAAAGGAAAGAGGATAGATAAAAAGGCATGGACTCCACATGCATTAAAGGAGGAAAAGAAGCAGTTTGGTTCATGCAATTTACACACAATAGAAGCTACAGACAAGGGCGGATGCTAAAAACTAGCATCAAACGAATGTATATATGTTAGCGAGTCCCTCATCAACAAGGGGAAACAGAGGAGCTTCAGTTTTAATTCTCAATAGTTTGATTAGGGAGAGAGGAGAGGAGGCATCAAATCACTATTCTAAGTACCTTAAAAATTCTCTCTAAGATGTTCAGAGCCTATAGAAGCACTTTGAGAGGCGAAGAGCAAGCTTGTTAGGGAGTTTTGAAATTGATTTTTGTTCTCTTTCTTTCCTTCCTCTTTAATTTTTTGTGATTGTCTACCATGAATTAGGGAGTTTAGAAAGATGTTATTTATAAATTTTATTATGCGCTTAAAACTATTGTTTCAGGATTTAATTTGTTCTGGTATCGTGGGAATGAATTCAACTCTAATTGAGTACAAAATAGTAATTTCAGAAAATATTATGACACTTTACAAATAATTGTCACTAGAGTATAATTACTCAAGAGTCAACTCAAAAGATAGAAACTAGAAACCTATAGGGTGAATCATGAATCCCAACACTTCAAATAATTGTGTTCCTCTCAAATTAAATCATGATTGCTATTTTTATTTCTAGATTTTCTACATATTCTCTTCAAAAAAAATTTATTTTATCTCGTTTTCTTAAATTATTAACTACCTAGATGTTTTCAAGAGAATATAGATGTTTTTATGCCAAGTACAAAATTGTCACTATAATATACATGTTTTTATGCCAAGTTGCTTTTCCGCATTAAAAAAAAAAAAAAAAAAAAGGTTACTCTTCAGGCAAACACAACGAACTACCATCTGCAGCCATCTCACAATTGTAGACAATCTGCATCCAGTTATTTGTGTGTTCCTCCGGTATAAATGTAGGCAGGCTAATAATAGTATGTTAAGGTGATTTCTATGAGATGATACTCCTTGGTTTATTACAAAATTTGAGTGTTTAAGATTCTTGTACCAATTTTCTCTATCAATATGCAAGAGGGTAGGGTCCACTCCAAGGATTGAAATCGGATTAGCAGCTACAAAAAACTTCAAGTCAGCCCTTGATTTTAAGTTATAGGTGTGAGGACAAATTGTTAGTATTCACTACTCCAAACAAGCAGATTACTGACTGACACTTTTCATGTCCATCTACTTTATTCATTTCATTATTTACTAATTGCAGATAGTTTCCAAGGGTTCCAGGCGATGGAACCAAGAGGGGTCAGTAATATATGACGTCCCAGCTCCCTGTAACTGTCTGTCCTCACTTTGCAGTGGTTGTGTGTGTGGGTAAAACATCACATAACAAATTTCTTACATGTAATCCAATTGTGACAGGTGAGCAAACTCATCTGGAATTTTTCCTTGCAATTTGTTAAAGCTCAGGTCTCTGAAAACAAAGTTTCATCCAAAAATTAGGTAAGAAAAATACAGCACATAAACATTTGGTTCATAAATTAGATGGACACAAAAGTATATTGACACCATATCCAGCATAAATGAGTACAGAATGCAAGAAATTTGGAGCTAAGGAGAATGAAAAAAAGACAAAAATAAAACAAAACAAGAAAATATCCTGATAAGCAGCAACCCAACAGATGGAATAGTAGTGAATCAGCACTCACAAGGTTTTTAAATTTCCCATTCTCCAGAGATAGGTAGGTATTTTCCCATTGATATTGCAACTCCTCAATATCCTGTAAAACAATCCAACATATAAAATTTTGCAACAACTAAGGCATCAGTTTATCTTCTTAACCTTCAAAGCAATTCCTTACTAAGACAATAACTCTAAGAAAAAATAATTAATATATATAATAACAAACGAAGCAGGTAACTGACAATGTTTTCAATTTTGTCAAGTTTCTGAGCTCGGGAAAAGTTGAATCAGGTCCATTCAAGTCACTTATCCTCCTGCATGTGAATTTAAAGCATGCATAAACAGAGTAATAAAACTAAAGTGCCTCAAAACACTAGTCACGATATAAAGCTTACAAGTCCTCTACGTTTTCAGGAAATGAAATTCCAGAAATCGGTCCACTCAAACCAGTCCCATGAACCATTCTGTCAAAATGGGAATACCATTGCTTCAGATGAAGAGGCATCATATAGTCAACAATAGAAAACAAATAAAATAATTAATGGTTGCCCAAGAAACAAAATTCTCACATTTTCTCAAGCCTTTTCCAGTTCTGAATAAAGTTAGGTATCTTTCCTGAGAATCCATTGTCGCCCAGTCGACTGAATCAATTGGGGTTAAGCAACAGCACATTACTATTCATTCAGATCAATTACAAAAATAGTTATGGGGTTTTCTTCGTAATTAGTTTGACCCTACGTGCTATTTAAGTCATTTTATTCAACTCCTTCGTAGTTGCGCATAGTATAATAAAACTGGCTATCATTTTAACATTCAGGAAACTGATGAGTTTAGAACTATAAACTGAAACGCTACAGGGTGGCGAACTACTCAGAGTTGAATGATAATCTTCAGACCGGATTTGGATCTTCTTAAATTTTAGGGGATTAATAGTCTCAGTTCCTTAAGAAATCAAGACGATCCAAATTCCTTTAAACCACGAGGGGGCAAACTGGCTTTGAACAACAAAATGGAGTAATCTAAAAGTTATCCTAAATATGTACGTCAACATAATAGAAGGAAAAAGCACTTCTTTTAAACAAAAGGAAGCTTACATATCCGTCAAATTAGTAAGCTTTGCGAAAGTTGGAGGTATGTCTCCAGTGAAATTGTTGGAGGTAAGAACCCTAAAGCAACCAGAAATTATGAATATAATCCACGATTATGAACTAAAGATCAATCAATGAGCATTATCATTTAACGCTTCTACCGAGAAAAACTATAAGACAGAAAAAAACAAAATCCAACATGAAAAAGAAATGGTGTGAGAAATGAGTGGTAAATCAAATCAGCTGCTTACAGTCCTTCAATTTGGAGAAGATTGCCAAGCTCAGGAGGAAGATTCCCAGAAAATTGATTGAACTCAAGGACCCTATCATCAATTTCAAGCTAAAGTTCAACTAAAAGTATACGAAAAATTGAAATGAGGCTTATTCTTCAAAAATATGGATGTCCAAAAACTCACAGACGTTGCAGAGTAGTGATCTTCGCAAGCTCCACTGGGATTTTACCGGTTAGTCGATTACCAAGAAGAGATCTAACGAACAAACAAACATAACATTCATATTTCACAAAACTAGTCACGAATAAGAGTTAAAAATATGAATAACTAAAAACAACAGAAAGCGAAAATGAAGACAAGTGCAGAGGATACATGTGCCGAAGATTAAGGGAGGCCCAACTTAAAGGGATTGAACCGCTAAGGTAGTTGCGGCTCAGGTCGCTGTACCAAAGTGAAGGAAATGCAGAGTTAGCGCAAATGAAAACAAATTCAATGAATGTAGTTTCAAGTTTTTGTGTTACTTACATTGCGGAAAGGTAAGGTAATCTGACAAGTTCTGGAGGGAGCTTGCCCGGCAGACTTTGTTTCTTCAGAGTTCTGTGTTCGATCGCCATCGAAGATTGAATATGAATCAGAAATTATGCGCCGAATTCGGTAGTGCATCTTCTAATTTGTTCTCTCTCTGTTTTTGTTTTTTTGGCCAAACTTCAAATTCGTTCTTTCAGGGGCGTGGTGCTTTGTGTCATGGTCACTTTTACTCTGGTTTGTTGTTGGCATTCCGCGCTTACTTCTGAATCTGGGTTAATAAACTACTTCTTGTTCTAATTCATTTATAGTCTGTAGTTTACAAAGAAGATTTTAAAAATGGAATTGAAGGTAGTAATGTTTAAGTTTTTCTTATTTTAATTATGATTTTTTAAATTTTAAATTTTAAATTTTAGTTTTTTGAGTTTTTTTATTTAAAATATTAGTTCTTACAATTTAATAAAAATCTAAACTATTTTGATTTCTTAAAAGATTAAAACCTATAATTTGAAATTTAAAAAAATAAAAACTAAAATGAAAATAAATTTGAAAGACTAAAAATTATATTAAACCTTTGAATTTTGATGGAAGAGTTGTATGAACATTGCTGAAAAATCTCTATCACAAAATTTATTGACTAAAATTGTCTAAAATTTATTTAAATCTAGATATAACTTATATTTAACAGGTGCAACTTTTGTTTTAATTATGTACAATTTATTTCAACTAAGACACAGGACCTAGGTCCTAAGATATTTCTGAGCATTATTAAATTTTGCAACTGCAGATTTTCCACAATTTTTCCAAGAATTAATAAGGCACTTGGGTGATGGCAAAAAAAAAAAAAAAAAAGGCACTTGGGATCTACAAAATGAGATCTACAAAACGATGTGTGAAGAAGGAATTTCTCTCCCGAGGCACTTATAATATGCTTACTACGTGGATCGGAAAGAAAGTTACATTTTCTAAAGTAGATTTTTTGCTATTAATGATGTTATAGTCTAGTCACATATAAACTCTTAGATAAATAGGTCTATGATATACACATATTTATAATTTAGTTGACTAATTCGAGGAAATTGAAAAAGTTAAATAAATTACTTTAAATTATTATATTTATCATTTTTCTCTAAATTAATTTAAAGAGATTAAGAAAATTAGTAAAGTTAGTTGTTTATAATAAATATGTGTTTGCTTTCCTAAATTACCTTATTTAATTATGTAAATTGAAACTACCACTTGATGGAAATCCCTTATTATCAATAGGGATATTTTGAAGAAAATGTTATAAATTTAAAAGACAAAATAAATTAAAGTCTTATATTTAATATCAAATCTAATCTTTTAACTAGTTCTTGCATTTAGGACTGGAAGTAGTAACACATTTAAGTATTTTAAAGAAATCATGTAATATATAAGTAATTCTTTAGTTTTCTCAATTTCCTCAAAAACGTCAATTACATCGTGGAGGTAGTGATAAGTAAAACCAAATTTAAAGGAAGAATGTGAGTAATTATGATGAAAATCATAACGATGATTTTTCAGAATGATGAAGATGATCAAAAACTGAAGGAAAAATAAAGTTGCAGATAAGAGATCTTGCCAGAGAAGGAGAAAGGCAGACAATAAAGACGATGATAAAATCATAAAATTGTCTTCCGAGTGAATTCCTGGATTTTAATTTAGGATAAATTAACAAAGGGTTAATATAATTTTCGACCCTTAAATTGATTCTCATTTTTATTTTGGTTTTTTAAGTTTTAAACTATATATTTTGATCTCTCAAATTTTTCTTCCATTTAAAATATAAATCCCTATAATTTAACAAAAATCTATATTATTTTGCTCCAAAATTGAAATTCGAATAACTAAAATCAAAATTGATTCAAAATTAGTAAAATATGAAAAAAGTTACTTGCCATGGTTAAGTAATTTTAAATAATTTGATATGGCTTATTACATGCCATTAAATTTAAAGAGTATTTTAACATTGGCAAATTGAGAGTGTGATTTTAAAGTTAGCCAAGGTTGAGGAGGTGACTCAGAATGTATTTTGGCCTCACTTAAATTTAAATTGGAAAAAAAAAAAAACAACAACAACAGAAATAGAGAAGGGAGTGATACATGTTGACAACATGACAAAAGGCGTCATCAGGGGCAACGGCGCAATTGCAAGCGACAGCGTTTTGACTTTCTGTATCCACTGGGTACGCCGTAAACCAGTTGGTTTGACTGAAGGCAGGATCAGAAGTATCGCAGGGATCTACGTCGAAGTTCCAATCTTCCTTTCCCAGAGTCTTAGCTATGTCTTTCAGAGCTTCCACTGGAAACACACACACATATATATACATGTTCATGCAAAGCAATCAAATGACGGAGAATATATACATACGTAGAGAGAGAGAAACACACACACATATATAAACATACAGAAAGAAAAAGAGAGAGAGAGAGAGAGAGTAAATAATGAATAAAAGGAAGCGATAATATACTTTCAGATGGATGTATCTTGGTGGCTCCAAATGCAGAGGAAGCCCAGAAAAGAGAGATCAAGAGAAAGAGGAGGAGATGATGATGATGATGATGGGGGAAACTTATCTTCATCATGCTTCTCCTCATTTTGGTGAGAGAAGAAGCAAACTGAATTATTGAGAGAGAGAGAGATTGCTGGACATTGTAGTGTAAAGCACAGACCACATAAATAGACGACTGACCAAGAGGGGAGACCAAGTCAAGCACAGCTACTCTCCTGTACTTGATACTACCTTAGCTTTTTAATACAAGAGTTTATTTGATTTTTATTTTAATTCTAAATATAAGATCTCAATCTATTTTGTTTTTTATTTTTATCCATTCTTTCTAAAATAATCCTCATAATAATAATAGTTTTAGCCAATACACTTGATTAACAAGGATATTTTATGAAAGATAACACTTATTTATTACAAATAACTAATTTAATTAGTTTCTTTAATCTACTCAAATTAGTCAACTAGCTCTTATATTTGTCAACTAGCTCTTATAATATAAGAGTTAGTTGACTAATTTGAGTAGATTAAAGAAATTTGTTAAATTAGTTATATATAATAAATAGAAATTGTCTTTCTTAGAATAATCTTACTAATTATATGTATTAGCTAGATCTACCATTTGATAGAATCTTTAACATGTATAATTAATACAAGAATTAATTTAAAAAAATGAATAAATAGAGAGACAAAATAGATTAAGTTCTTGTATTTAGAATCAAATTAAAAGTCAAACTAACTCTTATATTCATGAGTTATTATTTGTTTTTTAACAGTAAATAAGAACGGGGGAAAGAGCTACCAAAATATGTGAATCCTAACATTGTCCTCCGCGACGAATTAATTTCTATAAAGATCTTAGGAACTATTCTGAAATTAAGTTTTTTTGTGAAAATGGCATAATTGTCTTCAGTGAAACATAATTGTGGTGGGATGACCTAGCAGCTAGGCTGGCATTTCTCGGAAATTCAGCCTTAGCTACTTGACTGCCCTAGTTTGCTGAAACTTATTAACTAGTTTAATTGCTCAGTTAAAGTAGTTTTTAAATTATATTGTTGATATATATTAAGCAAGAAATTTCACTGAAACTAACTGTCCCCCTAGGATTGCCATTTAATAAGTTAAATTAAAGTTGTTACTTATTAATAAACTGTTGTCATATTTTGTTCTTTAAATTAAGAGATTTAGGTAATTTTACTACAAAATTTAATCCCAAACTAGACTTTGTACGTAGTGGTTGGGCTATCTGGAAGTCTTGAATTGAGATTTGTACGTAGGTTTAGGGAGGGTTTTTGTGTCTTTCTCTCATAAAAACAATGGACAATTACCATGAAATCTCAAGAAAGAAATTTGTTGTCATTTCTTACTCTAAAATTTGTTATTGTATGCTCTTCGGATTGTTAATGAATTTTAGGATAACTCATTTTTTTTCCTTAAAACCTGATTATAATTCTTCCTGAAAATAGTCATGTCTTGGAGGGAGGAATAACTTAACTGTTATACATCATCATGCTATTCATATTATGATATTTTACATCATACTTTGTACTCCAATAATTTTAATTCATTTTAATAGAAGTAATTATAAACAAATGCGAAAATGCTCATTAAGGTTGTGTTTTAAAGCTAAAAGTTTACTCACCCACTTTTTCTTCCGATCAAGAAAAAAAAAAAGTTGAACAACTTGTATCTTTACGAAAAAATAGCGTTATATTAGTGAGAGATATTAGTGTTATACATGTTCTTAGGAATTATTACCTGAATATATAGTTGCCATGCGATTGAACAAAACTATTTCCAGTTTAGTTTAATTTTTCGGGTTGAGAGTCTACTAATAACATATCAAAAGCATGTTATTATATAAATATATATGCATTAAGCAAAGATTTTTCCAAGTATTGAATTATATGAATTATTATTGATTTAGTTGAGAGGTCAGCTAGTCACTATCATAGCTACATGTGATTAAGACTAGAGTTAAACATATTGACAGATACGTGCATGACATTATTTAATTTTCCATTGAGTTAATAACAATGAATTTTGATTTTAAAAAATAATAATAATAACGAATGTTGAGAACAAGAGCAAAGCGAAGTCGAAGGAAAATTTAAGAAAAAATCTTGACTGCTTCAAACATAGGATTTATCTTTCATATAAGCAGTATTATTAGGGTTCAAATCTTGTTGATGTAATTAAAAAATTGCTTGTCAGAACTTATAAAAAAATAAAAAACAAAATTCTTCTTCTTCTTCTTCTTTTATTTTTATTTTTGGAGAGTCTTCACATAAGTCTTCGTCCAGGTACAAAACTGTTTAATTTCTAAATGTGAAAGGCACCATACGTCGTTCTGTGGGGTCATCGAGTCCCATACGTTCAAATGAAATTGATTGTTTTTGTTTTCTTGTTTCAGGGGATGGTGTGGTGTTTAATCAATTAGTATTTCTTTTGCATTTTTTTTCCTTGGATCTAATCATCAAATTTTATGAAATTACTAAAGATAAAAGATGGTCATAAAACAAAACATAAGCCTGTTAAATGATACAATTCACATAGAGAAAGAAAGGTTACAAAACAGTAGATAAATCTGACTAATGAAAGAAAGTAAATGCTAAAATATTATTATTTGAAATATTTCGCCAACATTATTTAACGTTAACAGTATTTTCATTTGATTAACATGAACAATCCTTCCAAAAAGAATGAAGAACAGTAATAAAAATATTTTCATGCTCCTACTAAGGTTTGGCGAACAATTGGCAGATAGTTGTCTTTTAAACATATTATTTGGAATTTGATTCCTATATATGTATAAGGATGAGTTTCTAGAAATTAGTTTTAAGATGTTGGGTTGGTACCCCAAAAAAAAAAAAATCATGTTCCTAGTGTTTGATGATGCTATTTATACTATCGATGCTATCTTCCGATCCTGAATGTAGGAGCTGGAGTTAGGGAATTAGTTTTAGTTTAAAATATATTATTTAATTTATTTTATCTTTTATATTTATTATTTCTCCAAATTAATTTATGTAACTTATTTATTGATATATAATATAATGTTACATAAAGGTATTTTAAGAAGATCATGTTACATTCTTTAAAATTAAGCAATTTATATACTCTATCCGTCCCTTATTGTAAGAAACAATATAGTTCAAAATGTTACTTAAATTTAGTTAAAATCAATAAATATGTAAGATATATACATATTTTTCCAGTTATAACCTTATTTGTGAAGAAAATACATGAAAGATAATAAGTGGCAATTTATTACGGAGAGATAATAAGTAACATATATTTAATAAAAGTAAAAGTGAAAAGACTTTAAAATGGCAAATAAAAATAATTTGCTTCTTATATTTAAGGACATCACTGTTAAAGAGAATATTTTTTCATAAATAGGAACATGAGCAAGTAACTTCGTTAATCTCCTCAAATTAATTAGGTATCTCTTATATCTATGATACAAAAAATATTACCGATGTTAAGATTAAGATACTGAAAATACACTTTGTAAACTTAAAAACTAAATTGAAATTTGATGCAATAGTTTAGTTTAGCCTTTTCAATATCATTACCACATATTTATTTAATCAATTTAATGTGTTTTTTTAAATATAAATGTAATTGATAATATATCAATTACCATTAATAAAAATAGCAATCATTATTAAACTCTCTCCTGCTTATCCTCTCAATTCCCCCTCCTTTTAGTTTCAAAGTTTTTGGCCATTCAAATTCAAATTTTTAGAAACCCAGATAAGTCCTCTCAATATTAAAAAAATTAGTTAAGTTATATTATTTATAATAAATAGATGATATCTTTCCTAAAATCTCCTTATTAATCATACTCATTTTTTTACCAAATATTAATCATGTGCATTTGAATCTTCATTTGAGACTTGAGAGTAACTTCTTATTACATAAAATCATCATAGAAATTACTTGAAGGCAAAATGGATAACTATTAATGATAAACCGGATTGATGTTTTATATTTAGAAACAAATTAAATTTTTAACTAACTTTTATAGTAAAAACTGGAGGTAGTATTGATTTAGAGTAATTAATCAATGCTCTTAAATCAAATTTGATTCCCTTTTTAATGTCCCAAAATGCTGATAAATGTGAAAGGCACCATACGTCGTTCTGTGGGGTCATCGAGTCCCATACGTTCAAATGAAATTGATTGTTTTTGTTTTCTTGTTTCAGGGGATGGTGTGGTGTTTAATCAATTAGTATTTCTTTTGCATTTTTTTCTTGGATCTAATCATTAAATTTTATGAAATTACTAAAGATAAAAGATGGTCATAAAACAAAACATAAGCCTGTCAAATGATACAATTCACATAGAGAAAGAAAGGTTACAAAACAGTAGATAAATCTGACTAATGAAAGAAAGTAAATGCTAAAATATTATTATTTGAAATATTTCGCCAACATTATTTAACGTTAACAGTATTTTCATTTGATTAACATGAACAATCCTTCCAAAAAGAATGAAGAACAGTAATAAAAATATTTTCATGCTCCTACTAAGGTTTGGCGAACAATTGGCAGATAGTTGTCTTTTAAACATATTATTTGGAATTTGATTCCTATATATGTATAAGGACGAGTTTCTTGAAATTAGTTTTAAGATGTTGGGTTGGTACCCCAAAAAAAAAATCATGTTCCTAGTGTTTGATGATGCTATTTATATTATCAATGCTATCTTCCGATCCTAAATATAGGAGCTGGAGTTAGGGAATTAGTTTTAGTTTAAAATATATTATTTAATTTATTTTATCTTTTATATTTATTATTTCTCCAAATTAATTTATGTAACTTATTTATTGATATATAATATAATGTTACATAAAGGTATTTTAAGAAGATCATGTTACATTCATTAAAATTAAGCAATTTATATACTCCATCCGTCCCTTATTGTAAGAACCAATATAGTTCAAAATGTTACTTAAATTTAGTTAAAATCAATAAATATGTAAGATATATACATATTTTTCCAATTATAACCTTATTTGTGAAGAAAATACATGAAAGATAATAAGTGGCAATTTATTATGGAGAGATAATAAGTAA